GAGCGTGCCCGCTCTGACTGGCTTTAAAGGGTTAAGTGACCAGGTTCCCATTTCAACTTTTCTTCATATACTTGGTGTAAGCTTTTTCTTATTTGTCACGTTTAATTTTCATCACTATCCTTATTTCTCTGTCTGTTATTTCTTTAAATGTAAGAGGTTTAAGAAACAGTGTTAAACATAAGGCTATTTTTTTGTTTTGCAAACAGTTCAACTCAGATTTTGGAAGATTTAATGGTATAATTTTGAATTCTGACATAGATAAAGATGGTCATTACATTTGTCTAATAGTTGAGGCTGCACACTCTGTCTATATTTTAGACAATGTGTATGGTTTTAACTGTCAGAGGGAGAATAAATGGTAAATGGCCTGTATTTGTATAGCGCTTTTCTAGTCCCTAAGGACCTCAAGGCGCTTTACACATCCAGTCATTCACCCATGCACACACTGGTGATGGCAGCTACATTGTAGCCACAGCCACCCTGGGGAGCACTGACAGAGGCGAAGCTGCCGGACACTGGCGCCACCGGGCCCTCTGACCACCTGTGACCAGGACACAACGACCGAGACTGTCCAAGCCGGGGCTCGAACCGGCAACCTTCCAATTACAAGGCGAACTCCCACCTCTTGAGCCACGATCGTCCCAAAATAAACTATATTTTGATATGTTGGAGGAGCGCCTACTATGCTGGTTATCAATTATTTACAAGATTTATTAATGAGAGGAGACAACTTAAACAAGAGCAAGGTGATAAACAGAAACTCTGCACAGGTGCAGGGAAAGCAGGGGACGGAGAAACGGTCGGGCACACAGAACACAGGGAGAGCACGGGCTGGAAGTTCTGCAACAGAGGAGAGAGGTGTCACAACGAGTGAGAGAGACAAGGCCAACTTTTACAGACAGGTGAGAGAGCGCAGACTGTCAATAGCATCACAGCGGATTCTTTTGTCACACATTAGGTGATCAGTCAAACAGCTCTGTTAAACGTATGGAATTCACATTGAGTATAGATGGATATTAAGAAATATAAAACTTCCAGTCCTGAATGGACATCAATGATTAAATTTAACAGTAACTATAGCAACAAATCACATCTGTTGTCCAGAGGCGCTTTACAGTGGAAGGCAGAGACCCTATACTAGGACTGGGCGATATCACCCAAAATTCATATCTCAATATTCTTTAGCTGGTTGACGATATATAGACATCTTGATATTTTTTAAAGCCATAAAGTAAGAACAAAAAGAGAGCTCTTAGTCAAAGCTGTGTCCCAAATCTCACATAAGCACTTTTATTAACATACAGCGCAGATGTACAAGAAAAAATTACTCAGAAATAAATTATCAGCATTTATTAAATAATCATGCTCCATAAATAAAATAAAACAATGTTGTTTTTGTGCATAACAAAAAGCTAAATGTAAACTAACAGACGCTGAGCATAATAACAAAGACAGATTTCGCAGCTGCTCTGTTCCCAAGTTCTACTGTGTGACTGACAGCCTGGAGTTTGAAATCCTCTTTGTAACCGTGTCTCTTAACAGGTGTCATTTGTGGTCCTTATACACACACAGTACGGTAATATTACGTTGAAGCAGAGTACGTATCACTCCGCGAGGCTTCTCGGTAGCCGTAATGTGTGGGACTAATAAAGGTTATCTTATCTTATCTTATCTTATCTTATCTTATCTTATCTTATCTTATCTTATCTTAATGATCCAACAATCCATCAAGCAGTGCAGTTTCGTAGTTTACCAAAGTCGTACCAAAATATTTTTTGAAAGGTTTCTGAGCGCTGTGTACCACATAAAATCGGTTCGCGGCCAGTAAGCACAACCAGAATTTATACATAAGGCGTGCTGTCGATTTTTGAGAAATAAAGGATTTTAGTATGTATCCTGAAACAAGATAACATTCATTAGTAGAGATTGGGAAAACTTCTGTTTGCCTTTGTTAGCCACTTGGCTATGATAGTAAACAGTGGGACAGAGGGACTGGTCGCCCAGGGCACCAAACAGGTTAGGACCGCCCCTGGGTGTATGGTAGGTGGGGCTGGCTCTACACTGGGGCAAGAGGGGCCAACCACTGCGAGCCTGTTGGCTGTGGTTTAAAAGTTTTTTGAGGCTCACCGATTTGTAATGCTCCTGCTCACAACAATCGTGTAATTTCACTGGACAAATTTGCACCATTTTATTTTTTTGGAATTAGGCTCATTTTTTTGCATGTGAATAAATAGATCCGACCAGTGAGAGCGTTGGATTTGGCAACACGTGTGCTCATAGCTTAAAACGCACTCAGATTATTTTTACAGTCTCACTGATTAAGTTGTGTTTAGAAACAGTTTTTAAATTACAAAACACTTCTTATGGGAGGCAAAAAGTGCGTAACTTCTAACGTTCAACAGGTTTCTTTTTTTATATAATTTCTTATAATTTTGAAGCTGTTTAAAGTTTAATTGATATTAAAAATCATAATTCATCTAATGATGAATGACTTTACTATAAAAGCAAAAATGTGTTAAAACAGTAAAAAGGGTAACTTAATATAGTTACAAAGATTTATTGCCCAGTTTTAAAAAAAGATTATTTCATACTTGAGATAGCTTCAGTTTTCTACATATATGTTCCCATATATTTTATATATTTGTATGGAAACATATATATATATATTTATATAGGCAAGGACAAAACCACAAATTTTGTATTCATGGATAGTTTTTGGTTTATTTTTTAAGTACAATGAAGACAAACATGAGGGCAGAAAAGTAAAGCTTGTTAATAATACAAATACACTTCACAACAAAACCTACAGTGTTACAGTATCTATCTGCAGTAACATGTGTGAACTTTCATGCTGCTTCAGCTGTTCAGATGTTGAACATTTTTCACCACAAACGCCACACAAAAACTGTTTGTCTCTCCTGTGGATGCTCATGTGTCTCTTAAGTCGTGTATTGGAACTAAATGTTTTCCCACACTCGTCACAGCCGAACAGTTTCTCTCCCGTGTGGCCTCTTAAGTGCTCCTTAAATCGTGTGCTGCGGTTAAATCGTTTTCCACATATATCGCATCCAAACGGTTTCTCACCTGTGTGGACGCTGGTGTGTCTTTTAAGAGCATTCTGGTGTCCAAATCTTTTCCCACATATATCACAACCAAATGGTTTCTCCCCTGTGTGGATTCTCATGTGTCTTTTCAGACCTTCATGTTCTGTAAACCCTTTACCACAAACACTACAGCCAAAAGGTCTCTCGCCTGTGTGGACCCTCATGTGTACTTTAAAACTATACTTAAATTTAAATGTCTTTCCACAAGAATCACAACTAAATGGTTTCTCCTGTGTGTGTACTCGCATGTGATTCTTAAGATGAGTGTTACGACTAAATGTTTTCCCACAGTCTTCACAACCAAATGGCTTCTCTCCTGTGTGGACTCTCATGTGCGTTTTAAGAGTAAACTCAAGTCCAAATCTTTTTCCACAAGCTTCACAGCTAAAGGGTTTCTCTCCCGTGTGGACGGTCATGTGTCTCTTAAGATGTGTATTGCAGCTGAAGGTTTTACCGCAAACAGCACAAGCCAGTGATTTCTCTCCTCGGCGTTGTCGCTTCTGAGATTCCGGTTGTGTAAATGTTTTAACGCAAACATCACTGACAAACTGAGGCTCAGTTGCAACACTCTCCTTCCACGCTATACCACCCACTTCAGTTTCAGGTCCAGAATCTGACAGAGGTTCCTGCCAAACATCCTCCTCCTCCTCCTCCTCATCTTCATAACTGACTTCAGTCTCGGAAGAGTCTAAAGTCTTTTTCTTATTATTTACTAATAAATGACAATTTAGATCTGGGCTCCAGACTGATTCCAGTCGTCCATATGCATCTTCCTCAATTTCCGTCTTGATCTGTTTAGCTAAGCAGCCGATAGGCGGCTCTGTCTGTGTGGATTCTTCTGTTTGGCTTTGATGACGATATGAGCACTGAGGCTTCTCTTCATCGTCATCATCTTCAGTCTTCACAGTAACAATAGTGAACGGTAACCTGCTGAGATCTGCCTCCTCCAACCTATTGATCTGCTGTCCCTCCTCACTGCTCCAGGGTTCCTCCTGCTCCTGCTTTATGTGGAGGAACTCGGCGGCTTGCAGGTCCCGCCTGGGGCTCCAATCTTGAGGAACTTCTTTAATCACCAGCAGCTGCCGGACATCTTCAGGTAACACTGAAACACACATGGACAGAAAAGACTGACATTAAAATTCTACAGCAGCATAGCACACCCATTAAAAACCCTGATATACAGATATATATTCATTCATTGGTGTCTAATTATTTACTCCCTTTCGATGGCATTACCGTTATTTTTTTACAGTAGGTCCTTTTAGTCACGTTTTTAACAAATCTGTAGGATTGGTTTTTAAAATCTGTGTGACGTTGTCAAATTTAGAAATATCCTGACTCAGTGTGATGCTAAAAAAATCATGCTGGGCTGAATTGTAGTAATTTGTTATTAAACCTTCAGCTGATGCAAAATGACACAATGGGAGTACCAACAGGGACTGGAAAGGGCCAATCTTCTTCACATTTTTCTTCTTTTCCTTTAGGGGTTGCCACAGCAGATCATCTGTCTCCATCTCTCCATCCCACTGTTAACACCTGTCTTGTTCCCATTCAAACACATGTATTCTGTCTTCTTCTACTGATTTTATTCCTCTTCTCTCCAGAGCATACCTCCACCTCCCCTGGGTCTCCTCCACCTGCTCCTTACTACAGATCACAATGTCATCTGCAAACATCTTCAAATATCCTCATGGTGTGGCCCATCAGCTTTATCCCTGTGTAGTTTCTACAGCTCTGCATGTCACCCTTGTTCTTGAAGATCAGTTCCAATACACTTCTCCATTCCTCAGACATCCCCTCACTCTCCAGGACTGTGTTAAAAAGTCTGCCTTCCCTCTTAAACACCTCCATACCTCCACGGGTGTGTCATCAGTAGGGCTGCCACAAACGATTATTTTGATAGTCGACTAACCGATTATTTTTGCGATTAGTCGACTAATCAGATCCATTGGACATAAAGCGTACAGCTTATTGCACCAGCATGCATCTGCTCTTATATAGCTCTCATTAGCTTACAGCTTGAAGTGTTTAAGGTATGTGCTAACTAAAAATAAAGACAAGATGATTAGACAAGATTAAACTTTTAATGAAATTTGCAGATTGTCTCAGTGGACTTTAATAAACTCAGCCGTCTGCTCCTTGCTCTAAATATAACAGGACACTAGAGTAAATTCTCGAACATCTCACATTTCTGTTTAATCAGTTTTCTGTTTGCGTTTATTCACCTGTGTGAAAACTATAACTTTAATCTCAGCCAAACAGATTTACTCAGAAACAAATTAAACACTGAAAAAAGGCACGACGCAACGACTATTAAATTAGTTGTTGACGATTTTGATAGTCGACATAATCGTGACTATTTGACTAATCGTGGCAGCCCTTGTCATCAGGACCAATACTCTTCACAGCTGCTCTTACTTCCTCCTTACTAAGCCTCTGCACTTCCTGATTAGCGATCCTCCATCTGTCCCCCTCCTGCACTCTTCATCTTCATCCTTTAAAGAAAGTATTAGCTTCTCTGCACTGACTAGCCTTTTAAATGCCAAATTCCTGAATAATAAGATCCAATCATGTTTTAAATATATCAAAGCGTTATATGATCCCAGCAGAGTGCTTCACTCACACTGCGAGGCTACATGTGGTTTCTAGAGTTTATGAAAGTAGAATAAGAGGCAGATTCGTCAGCTATGACGATAAGCTGATTGTGAAGGCTGAGTCTGTGGACACTTGAGACTGTGGTGGAGGGGACGTCACGGACAAATGGTTATCCATCATGGATAGTCCTGACGACCCTCTGCACCACTGAAAGGACATGTAATGGAGCATCTTCTTTAACAGGCTGGTTCAGCTCCAAGCAGGACTGATATAGGAAATCTTTCATACCACATTATATCACCCTTTATAATACAATACATGTGTCTGACTAAAAGGCATTTGCCAGATACAAATTGCATTATGAATGTATGCATGATTATTCTCAAGGTGCGAGTTGTGACCATAGGAATCCTTCACACTCTGAAGCCTGACGGATCATTTATTATTAGTGATTATTATCACTGTTAGTGTAAGGTTTGTAGCGTAATTGTGAAACATAAGCAGAGCTTTTACAAAAATACTGAAGTGTATTTTTAAAGAAATTAACAGCTTAATATTCTCTGTCTCATGTTTTCCTCTTCAAACAAAGGTGATCCAGTCAAATGTAACAATATATGGAAGACTAAAATCCCTCTTCCACTTAGTGCCACGTTGGCCAGCTGTGCCATAGCACCAGCATTTAATATGAAACAAGCGGTGAGGACCTGCAGACCGAGGTGGAGGAGTGTGGACGAGCGACAGGCTCATCTGCTACTTTCCACTTTTACAATAATGGATTAAAAGTGTTTCTTATTTTGTTGCTGGAGCTCTGAGGTCAGTTTTAGATTCCACACAATGACCAGTTCAATCTTTCACTGTGAGCGCTCTGTTTGTTACTAACACTAACACACTTTATCCAAAGTTCATTTAAAACTTTTCTATAATGCTCTTCTTCTACAGCCACTACATTATTATTGTTGTGTATTATAGTGTTGTTTTGTGTTGTTTGTTGGACTCTTTGTTTATTAATAGGTTCTAAAATATATTTTACCTTCACAATTTGTAATAAAATGGTCTAAATAGTTAGTAAAACAAATATGAACTGAAAATCTTAATCTTAACCACTTATTTTGTTAAATGTAACTTAGAATTGGGGAATGAACAAGTTGAATGAACAAGCTAACTTTTTCAAGAAATGACTTTTTTACCATCACTTCCTCTCATAGAGCACTTTTCTACTCTACCTGAGCACTCAAAGAGCTTATACAACTCTATGCAACATTTTTCCAAGCTTTTCTGTGCTTAAATACTCTCTTCAAAAAAAAAAAAAAGCGGTTTGAATTAACCACAATGCAGGTTATAGGGAACATACAAACTCACTATTTTTGCAGTCTGAAACACTGAAAATTGCCGATCTAGTGAAATTCCAAACAGCACGGTTAAAACGTTTGACTCCAGCTACACGACACCAAGCTGGGAACACTTCACGCAAGTCGAGCTGCCCGAGATTCACAGAATTTACAGAAAATGTAAATTTTTTGTGATTTATCTCGTTATAGGGACGATAGATGTTTTATCTCGGGATATGGGATTTTAGTCATATCGCACAGCCCTAGTATATATTATATCAGAAATCTGTTCACTATTTTTATTACAGATTATATCAGTAAGGAAGCTGACTAAATATTAACTTATGGCAAAAGGGTGGGATTAAACAAGTGTGTACTTCTTCCCACTTCCTTTCAACATGTAAATGAATCAGTACGGTAGCAATATTGAAATGTATTGACTTTTGTATAGTATTTTTTTCTCTCTTATTTTCTGTATATTGTTTACATGTTTGAAATAAATTAACAATTAACAATTAAATGCTATTCTTACACAGGATTGTGTCTGCTCCTCTCTGTCAGCTTATTGCAGCAACTGGACCATCATGCAACATTAAGAAACTGCGCGTGTGATTTCAGGAGGATGTCTCAGACTGCCAGACGCAAAGCTGCACTCCAACAGGATGAAAGAGCCAACCTCACGTCACCCTGTAAGGACTGATGTTGCCGCTCTAGAAAGTGTCTGGCACACCGGATTTCTGAGTTTCCTGATGGTCTGAATTTCCCTTATTTCTCTTTTAGTTAGAGAACACTCTGATCACCACGCAGGGTGATCTCTACAGGGAGGGGGGTAAAATTTGATCCCCACCAGGGATGTAAAACTATTTAGCAGAGTGAGGAAGGAAGGACCAGACGATGGGAAAGCTAACTCTGCTTATATGGTATTATTATTAATAGTAGATTTCATCATTATTTTAACTGCTGAGAACAAAAACATTTCTTAAATACGGGACAAATAAAGCATTTCTCATCTCGTGATGTTTGCATACTCTGGTCCAGAGCAACTTATGTTCAGATTTCTGTTTTAAACTCAGCCGAAAGCGCTTTACTTTGACCAGTACACGCAATTTTAATGATGCTCTATATGAATGATTAGCTGCAATATACAGGACCTTACCCAATTAACACGTTATTAACGCTAAATGAGCATTTAAAAACGGTCGAACTACAAAGACAACTCTTGTGTGCGCGCTGGCAAATCGTCCGGACGCCACACTTTACCCTCAACTTTAAGTTCCGCCGTTTAAAAAAAATCCGCCACAATAATTCTATTAAACGTTAATATTCACATTTGAGATCCACGGATGAAATAAAAAGCTCTGGGATTTTATTTATGTGTTTATTTTTGTGCACGTATACAGATCAACGAAAACCGATGTTTCCGATGTGAAACACCTTTTCACAAACCCCACAGCGAGCTAACAGTTAACCCGATCAAACAGTAAATGTGTTTTTATTCTCACCGGCGCTTTGGCTCGTTTCAGCATCCTGCTGCCGTTTAATCTCGGGCTTCTCCTCAGCCAGACTGTCGGCATTCAGCTGATGGAGATAATCCACCTCATTCATGATGGTGTCCGTGTCTTTGCTCTCTTCTTTAAAATAAACTGCAGGCTCGGCGGAGCTGAAACCGGGCCTGGGCAGAATCGATCACCGCCGATCACCTTTCACGATCACGCCGCTTACGTTTCTGTTCATCCATGAATACGTCACCGGGGAAGATACAGATTGAAACGGGACACTCAAATGATTCCTCACAACATTTATTGCCCTCTGCTGTGTTTTGAACAGGCATCTGCACGGACACCTTTCCTGTCCTCGGCGGTGAGATCACCGCTGTGGAGCGACGAGAGTGCAAAAATGAAATCACTAAATACATCAAATAATGATTAAATGTTTAATTAATTGATTCAATTAACCAGGTTATGGTCTGTTGATCAGCCGCAGTGACAGTTTCAATTATTTCAAGATGGGCAGCAACACATGAACCATGACATAATTAAAAGATCTACTATTGTTTCTCCATTTAACTAACTAATGATACATTTAATTACTATATTGTGTTTTTATTTATTTTTTAAAATTGATGTAATGATGTTTTTTTCCCATTCTTGACCTTGGAGGGTTATTTCCTTTCTATAAAGGATAGGAGACATTTTTTTTCTAAATTTTAAAAATTCCTTTTTTAAATATGTTTAGTTTTATTTATGTAGAACCGGTTAAAAATGTCTCAAGGTGTTTAAAGGTTGCGTCCCTCTTTACGTGGGACATTTCGATTGGCACGCAGACTCTTTTTCTCAGGGGTTTTCATTGCATGTGTGTGATGAAAAGCTGTCGTCATGAGTCTCCTGAATATTTAAGTCACTGCAAAGTCATATTCAATGTAAAATAAAATGAAAGCTTCCACAAATAAAAAGAAATGCAGCTACAACACTGATTACGTTCCTAAATACAGTATTGTTCAAAAGTCTCAAGCCAAACCCCATGTAATTATATCTTGCTGGGGAAAATGGAAAACAGGTTCAGTAATTGTTTAAAACGTATACAAACATACACATAGATACAGTAAATAAGGCAAAAACAGATATAGTAAAATTAGAATGAGCTTGAAATTAATATTTGGTATCATAAAGGTGGTCAGCCTTTATTCCTCAATACATCCTGAAATCATAGAGGCAGTTTTTCTATCTGGGTAGGCTTTCATTATATTGGATTTGTATTTATTTTTTAATTTTTTAATTGAATTTAGTTTCTACTCAGTAAATAGTTGATCAAAATGATAAAAATTCAGTAAAGTAATAAACATTATTTTAAAACAATATTAAAGATTAGTTGGCATAATGAGATTTGCTTCTAATTCTAAAATCTAAGGAAATAATGCTTATTTCCTTCAATTAATGGTAGAGAATTATTGTATTTGCAAAAGGACCATTGAAACAACAGAACACTTGTTTTATGAGTGTAAGACTGTTACACAAATGTTTGGAAATATCATCATAAATAAATGTTGTACAGTTCCAGAAGTAGATGTAGATTTCTGGTCTTTTCAAAATACTCGAATGGGTAATCCTCAAATATAGAAGATACACTTTTAATAAAGAATATGATAATCATAATCACAAAATTCTATAATTCTATATACATGAATGTAACTTTTTTAGGCCAAACATGAGGGAGAACACTCATGGTTTTTAATTTACAAACAATGTGTAATTATACTTTCAGTGGTGAAATGGAATTGCTTGATATTGAGTTTGTTTATGTATTATTCTGCTTATGTTCCAATAAATTAAGCAGGTTTTAGATGTGGAATGGAGCAGGGAGAGAAGAGCAAGGCAGAAATAATTAAGGGTAGAAAACTGGTTTAGATCAGGCTCATGTGTGCAAATGAATTACTTGAAAAGTGGCTGCTTATGCTGCTGGGTCCACTCCCCTTTTTGTTGTGTAGCCTGCTCACACTGATGTCTTTCACTGTGTGTTGGATTAATTTTTTCCTGCCCCTTGGGACTCCGTTTTGCATGCGCTGAAAATAAATGTCTTACTTTTTAGACATTCTGCCTCTTGTGTCTTCCATTCTGGCTTCTTTGAAAACCTAAACATTACACTCAGTTTGCACACTGTGACAGCCACAAGTTGATTGCTTCCATGCCACACTACACTGATGCTGTGATTCATCCTCAAGAGCCCAATAAAGGTATAGTAAAATATAAACAGACATACTTTTATTGAAATTGGACATTTATGTGTTATAAATCCTTTTTGATTGACCGTACTTCATGCAGCACACACAAAAGTATTAAACTAAAAGTTGCAGATAAATTCATTCTGCTCTGCTGCTTTGATGACGATTTTATGAATGAGGTATTGAATGAGTGTCAAAGAGAAGAAAAAAACCTGCCAGCAAACAGGTTAATGTTACAGACAGACTTATTACAACAGTAAATGACTCGGAGTTTAAGTTTTTATTTAATTCATTTTTCTTTCATGCAGGTAATTCCACTGAGAATTATCTTATTTACAAGAGCAGCAGGATTTTTTGGACAACTTGGAGGAATAAGTTGTTTGCATAATATTTTGTGACAATAAAAATGAAATCCCCACGTATAAAAGAGAAAAGGGTGGCTTTTGACTGGGTGTAATGCTGACTGTCTTAGATATGTGACAGTATTTTAACATATTGTTTGCATTATAGGAATTAGAGGGTAATTATTTTAGAAATGTAATTTTGGACACTTAGATCTAGAGAAGGACAGTAAGAGGCAGTAAAGCGATATAAACTGATGTCCGGTGCCTTTAAACTGCCAAAGAAGCAGAAGAAGAAGGGCGTCCGTGTAGATGCCTGCTCAGAACAGAGCAGACGTAAACAAATCTTTCGTAAAATCACCGATGGCAACTGCTGTCCTGTTCGGGTCTCTGCGGGTTCCTGTAATACATGGATGGGTGAAGGCTGACGGAGGTTCGATCAGCATGACCTTCACGCTGATCGGTGATCGATTCTGCGCAGGCCCGGTTCATCTTTAAGGAGCCTACAGTTGATTTTAGAGAACAAACACGGGCATCATGAAGGAAGTGGATTGTGTTCAGCAGCGAAACACAGACAGTCTGCAGACTGGCGGGCAGCAGCTGCAGCAGCACGATGATGATGCTTTAAACCAACCTGGTAAGAGAAGTCGCATTAATTAGATTCAGTGTTTCTAGAATGGGGTAAGAGCGGCTGGAAAACTCCCGACTTATAATAAAAATTGGTCTTCTTATACAGTATGTCCAAAGAATCGATTCTCTTATTATATAATTAGAATAACTTTGTAATGACGGACCGAAAAAGATTGAATTTAAAGAGAAGGTTTAGTGCAACCCGGACTGTTTTAGAGTGGGCACACAACAGAGTTGTTTCTGTGTGATTTTATGTGCAGTGCTTTGCTGCTATTAGTAAACTGACTGCAGTCAACGAGATTCATGAAGGGATATCTATCTATCTATCTATCTATCTATCTATCTATCTATCTATCTATCTATCTATCTATCTATCTATCTATCTATCTATCTATCTATCTATCTATCTA